TATCCCAATTTCAGAGACGTTGAAATATGAAATAAAAATGAATCTTAGCAGGGGAGAAAGGGGGTGGGGAGGGATAAATCACGAGTTCAGGATTTGCAGATACTAACTACTATATATAGAATTGATAAACAACAAGGTCCTACTGTTTAGCATGGGGAACTATATTCAATGCTTTGAAAAACAATAGGAAAAGGACTATATATATGTATAACTGAATCACTGTGTTGTATACCAGAAATTAACGCAATATTGTAAATTGACTATATGTCAATTAAAAAAATGAATCTTAGGATCAATAACATACAGAATTCCATTTCTAGGAGGCTAGATGAAATGTTGAGTGAATTGTAGTTCATTGAAACCCTGAAGGTTCTACCGCCTCTTTAGCATTTTTGGAGTGACAAAAGAAAAAGCATCACCTGCTTCCCACTATGAAGATTAGCAGATAATACTCCTTAATTCACTCTGAAAGTTGCCATGAGACAACTGCAAACAGCAGAATATGAAATATGACTGCTTACAGTGAAATATTTCTAATATCAATGAGGTAGATGGAGGGAGAATTAAAAATTAAGAGTCAGATATTAGCAAGGATTTTTTAAAATGTATATTTTTATCATTTTATATGTATGTATCCTTTAACTATATATTGTAGTCACAAGATGAAATCTTGTATAATGAAAACAAATGACAACTATATACAACAAAATCAATCTCAGAAACATAACGAGCAGGAAAAAATCAAATCCCAAGAGACTACTTTACAGTCTGATACCATTTTCATAGAGCTCAAAAAGGAACAAAACTAAAAAATGTCCCTTTAGGGTTATATACATATTTTAGGCCTTTTTACATGTGATAAAACTATGAAAAAGAGAGAGCAGAGGGGTAGGGAGAGAGGAGAGGAGCTCAAATACATAAATGTGAAGTATGGGTAATGTTCTGATTCTTAAATTAGGTGATGAATAATTATTATGCTTGATAACTTACTTACACATCACATTTATCCTTTGTGTCAAAAATTAATTAAAATATGTGCCAAATTATGCATAAAATGTAGACAAAATTTGTATGGTTGCTTTTTAAATGATGCTTATTTTATCAATAAGTGTTCTTAATTATAGGCCATTCAGGTTAATTTAACAAAAAGTGATTTTATTAAAGGCTAATAAGTAATCCTCAGGATCTTCAGGACAGACACAAAACCAGAAGAGGCTACAAAGCCTCTAATCATTTCAGATAATTGCTTCAGTGAAGATTCCACTGTGTCCACTGTTGGGCAAACACTGCAGCTTTCACCTGACACTGGATGCAGTGTTGTCATTAAGCCACTTTTGCTGCTCTTCTGTGGAGCTAGATGTAGTTGCCAGTGTTGTGTCATGGCCTTTACTCAAAGAATTCTGCAGTTCCCTGCTTCTTTGTATCACCGACTTTTAGGTTTAAGTCAGAGGTAGCTTTCCTGGCTGCAAAGGAGGCTGGGAAAACAAGTATCTTACACTTTCAGATTTTTTTTTTAGGAGGGAGAAAGGCTCTGTCTCATTAGGTGAGGGATTCCCTAAATATAGGGTAGGAGCTAGAATAACGGGCAGCCAAGAAGCAATGAAATGGCAGATGCGGAAGGTCTTCCACAGCCCCTTCCTTGGCCACTCAGTATCAACACACTCCTTCAGCTAATACTTACCCTTGTTAAAAACTATGCAATGCAAGAAGACTTGTGTCAGACATTGTTAGTTGCTTTCTCAATACTCTCTCCTCTTTGCTAATAGAATACTGATTTTATTTGGGGCAACTATATACCCTACCTCCTTTGCTGCTAGAAGTGACCATTTAACAGGTCAGGCAAATAGGACAAGGAGAAATCTGGAATTTATGGGAAAGCTTTGCTTTTCCTCATAAAAGGGAATACATGTAGCTGACATAGGCCATTCCCTACCCTTCTCCCCCCTTTTTTTTCCTGCTTCATCATCTGGCACAGCAGCAGCCTTCTTACAACCACAAGAAAATAGCATGAAGGATGAAGAACATGCTAAGAAGGCAGATTTGAAAGGCAGAACTGCACCCTTTCCTGTACATAGTAAGGACCACTGATTAAGTACTGTTCCTTTCAGTTACATGCATACATACTCTCAGCTACACCATTCCAGAAAACAGATGACAATTTGGTCTCATTAGTTAAGACTCCATTTATTAAATTCATGGTATTTTCTAATATATGGGCTGCAGCATTTCTTTTGCACTATTCATAAAGATTTTGCTAATCAAGAACCACCTAAGCTCTGAACAGTATTTGGCATTTAAAGGAATCTCAATGGTTAAGAATGTTTAAAAGTCTACCTGGGTTTAAAACTTGGTTTCAGTTTGGAAAAATAACATAACCTCCTTGCACCTGAGTATCTGTAAAATGAGGTACAGTTGAAATAGGGGTTATATAATAACTAGAAAGCACCACGCTTTCTAGTTCACCTACCCATTTTTGTCTCTACTGGATTCTCAAGTTGTAAATAGTCCCTCCTCTACTCTATACATCCTTGTATTGAATTTATCACATTATTTGCCTCCTCTACCAGATTTTTCTTCAAAAACAGTCAACGTCTCCCCCTCCTTTTTTAAATTTGTAATTCCAAATGTGTCCTTAGAAGTTATCTACGATGATTATTAAAATACAAATTCCTAGGTTCCATTCCCAAATTTCTATTTCAGTAGGACAGCGAGCCACATTCGAGGAACACTGAAATAGACCTTCAATGTCTGAATCAAATTATTCATAATGTATTAATATAAAGTAATAAAGATAAATATTGATAATATTTAAGCATTTTTCTAAGATACTTCTAAACTTTTAATTTCATAATTTGGCTTATAATCATATAATTAATGACTTCTAATCATGAGGAAATCTCTAAAGCCATTTCAGGAACAACTACTTGTAGAGTTATACTACTGACTACATTGTGCTAATTACAAAGTATTTATGAAAACCCTTGTCTACTTAACAGGTTGCCATATAAGTGAAAAATAAACCTTTGCACTTCCTAGTAATTAGACTCATTACTGAGTAAAATTAGCTGATATTCTCAAAATGAGATTTTTATTAAAAAAATAAGTTTGTATTAAAATTTTGCAAACCAGTCAGGTTCCATCATCCACTGCAAAAGAAACTTTAATACCCACTCAAAGTCAAGAACATTCCTTCTTCTCTTCTATTTTCTAACTACATACTATTTTCATAGCATTAACACCAGCTAGCATTTATATTATGTAGGGTGCTGAGAGCTCTTGATTTGCCAGGGAGAAAAGTCAACATACAGATTTATCCTGATACCTGAAATGTAAAGAACTTTACAAACAACTCTGAAAGAACATAAAGTAGAGAAAGAGACATATGTTACACTTTAGTGGGCCATCTGATTACTTTATCATTTTCACTGAAAACTGACCATGGCAGCTGACAAATGGCATAGGGTACCTGCCTCCTGAATGGAATTGTGGGACATACAGTGGCACTTAGGTTATATACGTCAAGGCAAATGGCTAGACTAAAAGTTTACTTACTCTTGGGAAGTGAGATTAAAAAAAATGCCCACATGTGGGTGGAAGTATTTTGCAGAGCTTTGAATAGAAATTTGACAAATTCTAAAATGACATATACCAATTAATTCAGGAAAAGTCCACTAGTTTCACTGGGATCAGATGCTTTTAGGATATCTTGGACACATTTTGTTGTTTTGACTGGAGTTCTTTATGGCAGTACAAAAGGAAGTTTACACCACACAAGGCACCAACAAAAAACTCTAACAATTCGTCTCTCCCATGCAGAGTAGTACTTGGTGTTATTGGAAAACACTGACAGATTTAGCATTCATTATTTCAATTACTTCTGGGCAAACCTAGATTGATAGTATTACATGAAGTAATTTGTAAATTTGAAATGTGAGTAAACTGAGATGGGGGAATGAGTTCATAAGCGAGCCTAGCTGACCATTTAGAATTTGAATCTCAACATTGTTTTGTTGTCTACACAGCACTGACTGTAATAACTCTAATCAGGTGATAAAACTTTGCTTCCTGGTGAAAATTGGACCTAAAAAGAAAGCCAACTACTAGTACTAGTAATGAAAGACATCCAAGTAAGTGATGGTTCTTAATTATAAAACAGAAGTTATGTATAAGTTAAATTATAGAATGTAGTACCTAAGAACTATGATGTGAATAAACCCATTATATGTACTTCACACTGGATAAACTACCCACGTTGAAGATTTCCTAGTAGGACAAAACTGAAAAAATGGACTACTAATATCAAATAGAATAAATAAAAGCTACTTCTAGCATCTGAACTAATAGCACGTGTACACATACACACACAGAACAAATTTCTCAGCATTCTTTGAACAATACAATGATTACACTACCACTGGAAAAAAACAGTTGACTTATTTTCAAGTATGTTTCCTGGGGACTAGCAATAGGTTCTCTCAAATTAAGAGTAAAGACACTAGGCCATAAAGTGCCAACTCTTAGCACCAGAGAGACTTAAAACTTCATAAAAGGTGAATGACATGACAAGTTAGAGAATCTGCCAATCTCCTTCTGTGGAATTGTATTATTTTTCTCAAATAGAAAAAAAAAAAACAATCCAAGTTTATGCCAAATAGATTTTAAAAGCTAATATCTTTTTAAAATTTTTTAGAATTGCAATTTACAAGCCTATATAAAATAAAATTGCTGACTTATAATAAAATGCTCTTAAGTTTCAGAGATATGAAAGGACAAAAATGAATTGAAAACAGTTTATATAAACCGAGGTCCCAGAAATGAAAATTAAAAATAGTCTCTTAGAGAAAGGAATGGTGAAATTCTGTATTTTCACAAACACACCCAAAAACTGCTTTTGTGGACAGCTACTTTTGACTGAGAATTCTAACCTACCACTTGATACATTTAATCAACACTAAATCAAGAGTGAGGCAAGAGAGTGAATGGACGATATTTGAATAGAGAGGTAAGTTCCTTCCTTGATAAGCAATCTCCAGCGGTCATTCAGAAGTTGAATTATTTGATGGCTTGGAAAGCTGTGTCCACTGAGTTTTCCTTCCTAATGTGAAGAGACTCACTGCTGATGGACAATAATTCTCGAAGTTCCTTATTTTCAAGCTGGAAAAAAAAAGTATATGTTCATTTCAGTTATTTTGACTGTCAAATTGCATCAGAACACATTGTTTTGGGCCAGAAACAGAAAGCATATTATTTTAATTTTAAAAGGCTTAAGGAAACAGAAGAACTGAGAATTTCCTAAAATACTTAGTTATTCATTTAAGAAGCATTTACTGAGTAATTTCTATATGCCGTAGATTAGGTCTACAAAGCAAAAAACAAGGTCCCTCTCCACTTGAGAAATTTCACTTCTTGTCAAACTCTTCATGGTTCCCACAAGTTTTACTACTGTTTCTTCTATCTTTCAAATTCCTAATAATAGTTTCACTCTCCTCAATATTCTCTCCAATGTCCTACAGTTGGAGAAAGGAAGGAAAGGGAAGAATTACTGGACACACAGCCAGGTACCACGTGGCTGTCTTCCATATCTTATCTCATAACCATGTGTAGGGTAGGTACCCTTGCCTACATCCATACTCTCCAGTGAGGACACTGGACACTGAGATGTGGACACTGAGATGAGGACACTGGGGCTCACAAAAGTCCAAAAACTTGTCCAAACTCAGACAACTTGGATGTGGTAATGCTAGGGTCTCAATCTGATGCCCAGGTTTCTTCCACTTAAACTATTAAGTAAACTTTGTCCTGCATGTCTTTTGGGCTGTTTCTGTAACTGAGGTAAATTAGGGGTGGTGTTGACAATGTCATTCTATCATTTTAACTAACTCCAAAATCCTACTTGATTTGCCACTCCTTTTGATTTCCACACAGGGCAGCTTGCACTGTTTATCCTCTCTGCAGGAAATTCTGGTAAACCAGAGTATTTTCAGTATTAACTCCACCAAGAGTTAGAGCCCATGGTCATTATATCTGTGTCATATAAAGTGCTTCCCTTAATACTCTGTATCTCTCTCCTAGCACTTATATACCATTTGATACCAAAAACATACTAGTCTTATTCCTTTCACTAGACTCTGAGGAGGGGCCCTATCTCTTTCTCTCTGGTATTTCTCAAATGGCCCACAACAGCATCTTGTAATAAGGAACATTCAAATCATCTACTGTAATGGTTTTCCTTAATAATTGTAGGGGCACACTAACACCCTAGGCCTTTCTTTGTAAATTATTCCCATTTTAATCAAAATATTACATGAAAATAGCTTTTAAAAAATCAAGACTGTAAGGTTTATAAATTAGCAGTCTCTTGGCTTTGTTTCCTAAAGGCAACCACTTTTAATATTTTTATCTATTTCTTTTGGTATTTCCATAATTCTAAATAATGTGCCCTGCACTGCTATTTCCTGATCATCAAGTTTAGACATTATCTATCTGAGTTTCTTTTATGGCAGATGAGGATTTTAGCTCACATGTAATCTGTCCCTTCCACCCTCTCTACCCTCTTGATATAATACCTCAATTTCTAGCCAATACATAGTTCACATTTTCACTGTTTGCTGCTGATTACATTTCCTTTCTTGAAAAGGGCATGGAGGATGTGTTTTAATTTTAAATTAGAGCACACAGAAAACATCAATATATTGCAGTGATAGGATAGCAATGGCGTACCTTTCAGACTCTATGAAAACTTCCTAAGATATTGTGAACCTAAAATAGAAACAATCTTACCTCTAACTGAGCTAGTTTTTCTTGAATCTTACAAAACTGGTCATCATCCATCTGAACAGCTTTCCTCATCACTTCTCCCATTTCACAGATTCTGTCAATCTGACTCTCAATTTCCTGTGAAGATAGGTGAAAAGTTTTTTTTTTTTTTTTACAGATAGGAAGTTCATGAGAACATGTGCATTACGATGTTATAAGTTCATTTTGTTTATGCTACCGAGGTTACACAGGAGTTTCACTGTAATCTAAGTCCTCAGATGTAAAGCCATAATAAAGTTATCTTGTGATATTCATGGGTAATTTGTTTTCAAAAAATATAGCCACCCATTGGATGTTGGATAGTATCTCTAGTCCTCCCCAACATGGTCTAGCAGTTAGGATTCCTGGTTTTCACCCAGACAATATCTAAATGGCAGTTGAATTTAAATTTGAATACTTTCATTGGTAGGAAGCTTACCACATTCTAAGGTACCTTATTCAATCTTTGGACATATCTCTTAGCAAGTTTCTCACATGAGCTAAACTGTCTCCTTCAAGGTTCAAATTTTCTCCTCCAGACTACAGATAATAAAGTTTCTCATCCAGATGAAAGCCATTCACATATTTGAAATATCCTGTACCCTATGACTTTAGTTAAAGTCAGTAAAATGTTTTCAATGGAAGCTAAAATGAAACTTATCTTTCATAAGTTCTACTGTAGCAAATAGTGAGGTGTCAATCTATTAATCCAGGATTAAATGATATAGTACATGTAAATGCACAATGACAACTGTGAAGCACTCTACAAACTTAAGAACAATTACTGGGTCTCCCAAATTAAATCATAAGCAACCAAAACTTAGAAACTATGTCATGTATTTTTTTTTAACTATACCTCTCTCTCCTAACAACACAGTATGATGCTATGTAGTTCAGTTTAATAAAGGTTAGAGACAGCCTGCTATGTACTAGGTACTATGTTAGGGATTAAAGATGAATTCATGCTCTTTACAACCAAGGAGCTTACAATTTAGTGAAATGTATGATAATAATCACCCAAGTATTTACTGAGCACCTTAAACACTAATTGGCATGCTGTTTGGTGGAAGAACTAAGTATTCATTAACATCTTGAAAAGAGATCTTGGTGAGAGAGGAACTTCAGACTTACTCAAACAAAAAGCCCTAAGAAGTCCCTTACCCACTTCTTTCTATTCATATTTTCACAAAGCTATATAAAAACCAACAGCAAATGTGATAAACATGAAAGGAAAACAAGCTGACTTTTCTTCAAAAGCATGCACAGAATCTAAAACAATTTCAAGATTTTAATTCAGTTCATTTCGAAGTTATTCATTAAAGATTCTTACTGCAGAGTGAGACTGGTGGGCTTTCAAGACTGGTTCAGCATCCACTGCTTTTTTAGCAACCATTAATTGTAACATCTGTTTCCGGTATTTGCTCATGATGAGTTCCAAAGCATCCTGGTGTTCCTCCAAGGAAACCCATAGCTCTATCAAAAAAATAAAATAACTTGGCAGTGATATCTGAGAGAGAGCTCCGAAATCCAAATGTAAACAACTGGAACTTCGTGACACTCCATGAGATATTATGAATCCAAAGTTGTAAATCCACAAAACTTTATAGTTACGGGCTATGTGAAAAATAACTTTCTAGGCAGAGGCAGTATAGTCTGGTAGAAATAACATGGGATGTGGCATCAGAAGACATGAATTTAAGTTCAGTTCTCTGAGTTACGGTCTTACTACCCTTCAGCAAATCATTTAACTTTTCTGAGCCCATTTCTCATCTGCCTTGTCATAATAAATACCTGGCTTATCTACACCAAAATGAAGACATAGGAATATAATGGGATGATATACGTGAAAGCCCTCTGTAAACCCATATACAAGTAACTATTCACGCTGTCAATAATAATGTATTCATCAAGCCCAAGAAAATACACCTGATAATAAAACTTAGCTCTTCCACCCTGTACAAGAACATTAAAAAACCTTCAACCTTAGTTTTAATGTTTATTTCAGTTAATATTTAAACACTAGAATTTAAGCCCTGAAAGATATTAATTCTTTTGTTATGCAAGCCTCCATCTGGAGACACCTAGATAAGTCATGCAGTAATTGAACTCTACTAAGCACCTCTTTGATAAGCTGCCTATACAAAACCAGTCAGATGACCTTCAAAAGGGTAATGTAACAAACTGTTATTTACTGGGCCAGCACAAGATAACGTTCCTGTTAAAAGTACTGACCTGGAAATAACATATAGCATGTGCGCTTTTGTGAACAGTTTGTAAGAACTTCTGAAATATTACTGGATAGTAGAAAATCATAACTACACAAAAAGGCCTGACTAACCTCTGTTTTCCTGCTGCAAGTCTCTAATCTGTGTATTCTCTTGGGACAGCAGAATGTGAGGTTTGTATTTGGACATGTCCTTTATATCGGATGCATCCTCTTGATACTGGACAAACAGAGACAGACTAATCGCGCCGTAAACAAAACAGCCGCAGGTGCAACTGAAGAGGTAGGAGGCAGAGCTCCAGGGAAGCTTTCTCAGCCCCGACCCCGCTGAAAGGTCTCACCGCCTCCCTCTAAGAGCAAGGAAAAATTCCGGGCCGAGTTCCCACTTTATCTCACCCTCCACCCGTCAAGTGCCCAGAACCTGAGGGCACGGGCCCCTACCCTCTGCCTGACCTGGTCCGGAAGCGCTGTCCCCGCCTCCCGCATAGCGGCCACCCTTCGGTGCAGCGCCGCCGACTGATCCACCAGCGACTCGGCGGCCGCATCGTGCTCCCGCAGCCTCTCCAGCAGCGTCTTAGCGTCTGTTAGAATCTTCTCGATGGTGCAGCTCATTGCAGCCGCAGGACCAGAGCCGCAGCACCGCTCACCTGTGCGAACCAGTCAGCTCCTCCCTGAGCCGGGCTCAGTGTTACAGACGTCATTTCCGGGTGCGTTTAAAAGGCGCCTCGGTGGGAGCTGCGATGTGCGCTTGCGCAGTGGCAGCCTAGCCGGCAGTGACTCGCTTTAACCTGCGGCTTGCCTTGCAGCTTCGCCCTGCGAAAGCCCAAGAGTCTTGCCCTTGCCACGCCCTTGGTTTCCTGTTCCCATGGCCCGGTGGTCAAGTTGAGTTATGGCTGGGCTGCTCCGAGTTTCTCCTTTCCTTACTGGTTTTGACTGATGTGGATTGTTACTTTGTCATCGTTGTTTTTATGTTTTTTTAAAATTTTTTTTAATTTAAAAAAATTGTGGTAAAATACACAAAGTTTACAATGTTAACCATTTTTTAAAGGACAGTTCAGTATTAATGTATTAAGTGCATTCATATTGTGCAACCATCACCACCATTTCTCTCTAGAACTTTTTTAATCTTGCAAAATTGTAACTCTGTACCCATTAAACTTTAACTCCCTTTTCTACCTTCCTCCCCTTCGGCCCCTGGCAACCTCTATTCTGCTTTCTGTCTCTATGAATTTGACTACTTTGGATACCCCATATAAGTGGAATCATATAAATCATAGTTGTCATTTCTGTGACTGGCTTATTTCATTTGGCATACTGTCCTCAAGGTTCATCCATGTACATAATTTCCTTCCTTTCTTAGGCTGAATTATACACACACACACACACACACATATGTATACACATACACATGCACACACCCACATATACATATATATTCCACATTTTGTTTATCAATTTATCCTTTGATAGATCCTTGGGTTGCTTCCATTTTGGGCTGTTGTGAATAATGCTGCAGTGAACACATGTATAAATATGTTTTTGTTCCTCCTTTAAATTTATTTTTGAGTATATACCCAGAAGTGGAATTACTGAGGTGTGTGGTAATTCCATTTTAAAAAATTTTGAGGAATAACCAAACTGTTTTCCACAGTGGCTGCACCATTTTACATTTTCACCAGCAGTGCGTAATTTCTCTACATCCAGTTTCTTCATGTTCTTGCAGACATTTGCTATTCTGTCGGGTTTTTTAAATAGCCATTGTAATAGGTGTGAGATGGAGTGGTTATTTTCTGCTTGCCTATTTTTTTCTATTTTAATTCAATTATTAATTGAAAACAAATTTAACCAGAATAGCAATGACTTTTGTGCTGTTATATTGGCTTGTGAGTTTACCTTGTCAAGCTTGTACGTCAAACTTTGTTCTTTTCCATTAATAACTTTAATAAATACTTTTGGAGAGCCTTCTTTGTATCAGGCACTGTTTAGTATCTGAGACTACAGCAGAGAATGACACAAGGTTGCCACCCTTAGGGAGTTTATACTGTAATAGGGGAAAGAGTTCATACTTTTAGAAATCATTGAAGGTAGTGACAGGATTAGGAACATGGTGAAAGGGGCAAGAGTGTCACAGCAGTAGTGAGAACTCAGAGAAGGGGATGGGGAGGAGAACTGGGCTTTTTACCTTTGTATTCCCAGCAGCTGGCACATGGAGACATTCAATAACTGTCAAGATGGGGAGATGGGGAAAAAGTTTGACAAAAATAAAGAATCACAACCATTGACCAACAGGAAAAAAAAGAATGCAGAGACACAGAGGTAAAGAAATTTCATTCATTGATTAAAACAAAGCAAAAAGACTCCTTAAGTGATCTCTTTCACTTACTTGCCTTTAATTTCAATTCAATGATGGTAGTTCTCAAATCTACCTGTGTATCCCAAATCTCTTTTATGAGCCTAGGATATTTATATTTGCTTGCTGATGGAATGTTTCCACAGGGACAACCTACAGGAACCACAGACGTAACATGGTTTAAAACCTGTCTCATTATCTTTTTTTTAAAATTGAAGTACAGTCAGCTTACAATGTTGTGTCAATTTCTGGTGTACAACACAATATTTCAGTCATATAGGAACATACATATATTCGTTTTCATTTTCTTTTTCACCATAGGTTACTACAAGATATTGAATATATTTCCCTGTGCTCTACAGTATAAACTTGTTTGCTTCTAAACCTGCTCCTTTTCTTGTTTCAGTGAAGAGTACATTCGTATACCCATTTGCCCAAAACAGAATTCTGAAAGTCATCCTTTATTTTTCCTACTTATTCTTCAAATGTAATGAATTATCAAAGCAATCTATCTCTTTTATATTTTTAAAACATTTTTCCTTCTTTGTATTCACACTGCTACTGGGTAGGCTGGGCTCTCATCCTTTCTCACCCAGATAAAGCAACAGTCTTCCAACCAGTCTTCTCCCAACCTCAAGTCATCTCCTTTAATAGCTTTCCCTCAAGGACACCACAACTTCTTA